GGATATGCATGTTATGTGCTTAAATGCATATACATATATCTATACACATACATAACCATCCATTCTCATCCTGTGTGTTTGTCTCTGTAGACGCGGGAGGAGTGGCAGTATGTGTTTCTCATTGCATCACTTGTTCATTATGGTGGAGTTATCTTCTACGGTGAATATTTGTGTCCATTTCTTTCCATCCATTTCCAAATGTGCTTATGTCATATGTAGAGTAACTGTATGATGATGAACTGGATCTTTTTTTTGCCTCCCAAAAAACAAAAACAAAATCCTAAAACTTAATTTTGCGTAAAGAACTTATTAATAATACGTTAATAATAATAATAGCTAAAATATTAATATAAATGTATATAAAAACTTATATTAAATAACATTATTTATGTATATATTTAGTATTTTATTATTGTTATTTTAATTTTATATTTGAATTAATTATAAATAATTTTTGCATCATGAAATTCTTTGACATTTATGTTTCATTTATGAAAATCATCCTGTCATTACTTTTAGTAGTAAACCTTAACTTATTTAATTCCTCGTTTTCATTTAGTTTAAAACTGTAATAAAAACGATATAGACTTTAAAAAATGTATATAAATCTAAAATAAAAACTAATTCGAAATATGAATAAAAACTCATTAATACTGAAATAACACTAGCTACAAAATTGTGAAAGTAAAAAAAAAATCATGTTTTTGAAAACAATTGTGTGGTCATAAAAAAAGGCATTTTTTATAACTTTTGGTTTTGGGGCTGGACTATAACACATTTCTTGACTGTTTTTGTGAGGTTCACATCTGCTAAATGAATAAATGACACTGTAAATCTCGGCTCATAGTGACGATTTCTTTACGTTCAGGTATCTTCGCGTCAGGAGAGAAGCAGTCGTGGGCGGAGCCAGAGAACATGAGCGAGGACAAATGTGGGATATTAGGAGAAGACGAGCTGGAGAATGAAACGGAAGAGCTGTACCGCTCAACGGGTGGCGGCTACGGAGCAACCATCCAATCAGGTGACCCCAATGGGGCGGGGACTGGAGGGGGCGGAGCTGGTGGAAGCTGGGCCTCAGACTGGGACAAAACAGAGGAATACCTCCAACCTGTGGGAACGAACAGCTTCCTGTACGGAGGAGAGGGCAATGAGCGAATGATTGTGAGGCTCAGAGATCAAGAGTAAAGCTGGATGGGAACAGGAGGGGGAAAACAAGGACTGAATATTCCTCCCATACAGAAACTGACTGGGATGGAGGAAGTGGTTTTGACCCAAACTAGAAAAAATAACATAATTAACATCAGATCTTTCTCAGAAGTGTGTGTCAGAGTGTGTATGTGTCTGTTTTGAGTGCATGTGGACAAATGTTTGAAGGTACAAAACATAATTTTAGTCACTTGGTCCAAACTTTTGACTCCCTGGTCGTGTATTTTAGCAATTAAACTGATCATCAAGAGTGCAGCAGTATTGCTGTTATGAAATATTACTGCCATTCTCCCTAAATTGTGACAAGACTGTAAAAGGTGATTTTTACAAATGAAATCCTACTAAAGTATAATTCCATTTAAAAAACGAAACTAAACCAGATGTAGGGAATTGTTCTCATGTGCCAATACTGTGAGGTGTGTGTAGTATTGGTCCCTTTTCAATGAGAATCTCATAGATAAATACACTTTTAAAGACTAGCAATATCAACTATTTGGATGAGCTTATAGAAGCACTGACATACTTAGTTTCTGATGGCAAATTCTCTTTAAACATTCATTTTTTTAAAATCTTTTATTTATATTTGTATGTATTTAATTCATAACCACATAGTAAAGTCATACCCATTTATTCTACTGAAGGAATATTCAGCGTTCAATAAAAGTTCATCTCTATCAACACCGTTTGTGGCACAGAAAATAATTTTTCCCTTTGTGTAGCTGCAATTTTGCTTTTAATTTGCTGGGGAAATTATTTTCTGTGGCAATCCGCATTATCCCACAATGCTGACAATAGATCTTCGTTTTTATTGAAACTGAAACATTTCTTTGATTTGCAATTTGTTTAATTAAAAATCATGTCCAGCCTTTATTTTTTTGTTCTAAGTCCAACAAAAACAATGCCAAGCGCTGACTGTTTGCGTGAAGGGCTTCCACTCAACCCGAACAACATGATATTGAAAGATCACTAGTAGAAACGCTATTTCTGTTTCACCGTTTTGCTGTTTAATTTCACATATAGATGAAAACAGAACCATAAAATGCTAGTTGAGAAGATGAGATGAGCCTGCAGGTTAGTTGCTGTATGGTTGAACAGAAATAACACAGTTGAACTCAAATTAAACTCGGATGTTATATCAGCACTTTCTCTCTCTCCAGCATGGCACTTGACATTTTCAATATACTCTCATGTACTCATCAGCATCTTAAAGAGGTAGTTCACACAAAAATGAAAGTTTTGTCATCATTTGCTCACCCTCGTGTCGCCCCAAACCTATATAGCTTTATTAATTCTGTGTAAGAATCTGTGGCACTTAAAAGGGTGAATCTCATGACAAAATGTCATTTCTTTCCCGGTTATTAACAAAAAATAATCAGAAATGTCATTTTGCATGAAGAAAGTTAATAGAAGTATTTTATAAAAAAAAAAAAAAAAGATTAATATTTTTAATTATATTTTAATATATTAATTTATAATTTTAATATATTAAAATATTTATTAAACTTTATTATAATATAAATGATAACGTGTGTGTGTGTGTGTGTGTGTATTCCTCAAACATTGTTTGTCATGATTTTTTTAAATTAAAATCAGCATAAATGAATATATTAATGAATAAATGAAAAAAAATATATACAGCACAGAAGAATGTTTCATTTTGTTTGGAACGACATGAAAGCGAGTAAATGACAGAATTTAGATTTTTGGATGAACTGTTTCTTTAATATCAATCAAGAAGATCCCATAGAAATGATTTGATATTTCTGTGGTCATCTCTCTGAATAATTAAGATAAGTTGATTATGATAAGATGATGATGAAATCCCGTGTCTGTAGAAGGACACGTTTGTAACACATCACTGCGTTTGTGTCGTCTTTCTTTTTGTTTCTTGGGGTTTGTTTCCTATGTATTTGTTCTATGTTGTGAAATGTGAATGTAAAAAAAAACTTGTGATAAAGTAACTTAAATTATTAAACTTCATCATTGTGATTATTACTATCATTGCTGCAGGTGTGCAAACACTGAGACTTAAGGTCAATATACTGTTTTCAGTCTACTGTAAGATTTTATCATTATTTATAATATGAATTTATTTCTACCTATATATTTATTTGTTTACACATTATTCATTTATATAAAAAAAATAGATAATTAAAATGAATGCATTTGAATACATATATTTACAGTTGGAGTTCTTAAGCTACATTTGGGATCTACATTTATAATTTCTATTGTATTATTGTGATGATAATGCATCGTAATATAGTTAGAATCTGTTTCTATGATCCATAAATGATGGTCAAACTAAAAGCGCTGACGTCAACGAGCAGATAGTCAAGAAAAAGCAATGAATCCGTATTAGTTACACCAGAAAAAACAGACTATAACCTAATTTATACACTATTTAATGTGAACACTCAGAATTACAAAATATGCTATACAAGGAACAAGAATAAACAGATTAAATGACAAAACCAATAACCAGTGTGTGTAAGCAGGAAAGCAAATCAATCCTGCAGTGACCTCTTGTGATGAACCTCGACACGACATGGGTTTGACGATACACCAGTTTGCCCTTTAGTGGAGAAAGACTGAACTACAGCTGCATTGCAACGAAAGCTTATTATTGCATATTGCATTCAGTTATACAGCTGTGCTCTATCTGATACACTTCCACATTGCTTTTTATAGTGAGGACAAGTTACATACAAACGCAACATACAAAACAGCGTGACATAAAAACACTACTAGAATAAAAATCGGAAAAAAAACCCCATGATAAAACGATGAAATGGTGCGAATAGACTACAGTGCATATGCATTTACAGCTGAATGAGCCTGAGAGTGACACTGAGAACTACAGTACTAATGTTGTTTAATGGTGTCAGTGCTCTTCAGCTTCACAGACAAACTCAGCGTTGATCATTTAATAGCATAATTAGTGCAATATGTAACTGTAACTTTATGCACATATTCACATGAATTTATTCTTATTCTTTGTGTATTTGTGTGGGAATGTCATAATATGTGAAGTGTGTGCTTGGATGCTTGTTTACGTGGAGGCTGAAGGTTGTGTTCACCTTCTTAAAGGAATAGATCACCCAGAAATGAAAATTTGCTGAAAATGTGCTCACCCTCAGGTCATCCAAGATGTAGATGAGTTTGTTTCTTCATCAGATTTGGAGAAATGTAACATTTCATCACTTGCTCACCAAGTGAAATGCCTTAATGATGGATGTGTTTCTTACAAAAACGCAGCTTTTGGCTTCACAAGATTTTAACTGATGGACTGGAGTGGTGTGGATTACTTGTGGATTATTGTGATGTGTTTATCAGCTGTTTGGACTCTCATTCTGACGGCACCCATTCACTGCAGAGCATCCATTGCTGAGCAAGTGATGCAATGCTACATTTCTCCAAATCTGTGAAAGAAATCACGAAGAAACAAACTTGTTTGCAGCTTAGATGACTTGGGGTTCTTTGAGTGAACTATTCCTTTAAAGCATCTTCACATATGGTGATGCTTCTTTTTCACATTAATCATTATTTGATATTATCACTGTAACCTTTATTACAGTAATGATAGCCGGAATTAAACTACTGTTAATGATTGGTGAGTTTATAGAAAGACGCCATTGCCTTTAATGGCTAAAAACAGCTATATGACTATTGGTTAACATTAATGTGGTGCTTTTTTCTAGATTCCCTAATTTTTTCTCTTTGCATGGCTCTTTCGTCTCCTGTTTTCTCGGCCTTCGGTTCTTCATATTGATTTTCCCCCACTGTCTAGGGACTTAAAAATCCTCCCTTCGCTCAAAGCGTACACTCATCAGCATGTCATTATCTTTACCCCGTCCAGTCACTTGCATATTATTTCTTCCATGCGTTCTGCGCTTCAGCATCCACACAGTCACACCCATGAGAATAATCAGTGCTGCCACCCCGAGCAGTATGTACAGCAGGCCTCCAAACTCCGCTGGTTGTGCTGAGAGAAAGAGATTTTTATGATAAAAATTAATGAGAAGTGCTTGCAAAATCATGAACTGAGAATTGAAAGTGAGAGTTTGTGCATTTATACATCAGTACAGTCGACCTGAATGAGTCTGAGTACCTTTGTAGCTGTAACTATCGCTGAAACGGGAGAAACCTTTCCCGCAGTCAAACTGGCAGCTGTACAGTCCTTCTTCCTCGACGGTAATGGACTGGTGGTTTTCAGATAGTCTTCTGTGTGAGTGTGGGTCATTAAAGAGTGTGTGATACCAGTGGTAGGACGTGCAGTCGGCAGGACAGCGAGGACAGGAACACTGCAGACTCTTAGTAGACACTGAAATCACTGCAGCAGGAGGCCCACCTGTAAAACACAGCAATATGACTGTGGTGCGCTGATGATTTCAGATGAATATAGTATTCATATACCATGGTATTTATATAGTGCCAGTGTTTTGTACTGGATATTAACTGGTCCAAATTAGGCAGTAAACAAAACATTACACCCCCCCCCAATAAACAAAGAAAGCCTGTGGTTTTACCATGGGTAAAAGGCAGTTTTTAGGCACAATACAAATTTATTGAGAAAATGCATAAATGTAACTGTTCTGACAAATTCAGTGAGTAATTAGTTAAACCAATTTAAACAAACAACTCGTGAGTCATTGATTCTGACTGATTCACTAAAAGAACTGAATCATTTGTTCATGAACTGGACCATGCTGGTCGCGCGGTATACTTATTTTTGCATGTAGCCAGTGACAACAATGAAAGAGAAAGATGTGATGGGTTGCTTTTTAAATTTTATTTTAGTTTACTTACTTTAAAATGTAAAATATTATTAGTACTATTAGTATTATTTATTATGAATTTATTATTATTAATATTATTACTATTGTTACACATAGTACTGCAGTATTAGTGGTTATGTACAAATGAAAGGATGATGTAATGCGGGTGTTGTTGTGTTGTACCTATAACTTTTAACTCCTGAGCGTCAGAATCTCCTTCCTTCTGTGCTGCTTCTGCACTGATGTGGCTGAACCTGTAGGTGGCGTGGCAGCTGTAGTTGCCGACATCATCTTGTGTGGCGTTGGTGATGGTGTATGTGCCTTCAGGTGAGTTCATGATTTCTATTTTATCCTTATAGAAGACTGCATTTTCCAGTTTCGGTCCACCCCAGACTACACACCTGAGAGCCACAGGCTCCCCCTGCAGCACAGGAACGGCCGGAGGAACCAACATCACCATGAGCTCTGAGAAACAGACCAAACACAGGTCAGACTTGCTGCTGAAAGAAACCTTCATCTAAACTTTTAGCAGATTTAAAGTATTTTAAAATGTACACTTTTTTTCTTATGGGAAAACAGACTAAAATATTGATGACATCATTTTGCACTCACAGGCATATCCAATTTTTTGTCCAATCAAATGCTTTCTAGAATTAGAACGTCCCTCCTCTTAATAAAGCCAAATGCAACCATCAGCAAATCATGGTGTTACTACATTCATTATTACTTATTTTTTTTAAAAATGGGTACAGTATGATTCAGATGATTATTTACTTGACCATTACTTTCAAATTCAGTTATTGTGAAATTTGGATTCATATGATGCCGTTGTACGTTTAGATGTTAAACTTGTTTCTTGTAAGTCAAGGCAAAACCTGAATGTTAAGAAACAACTAATATGTTTCAAATTCAGTTTACCAAGAGCATGTCAGACTAATGGGAACTAACTGACATAACTAATGAAAAACAGAAGTCTGCATAATGCAGTGGGGAGTGGACTACAAATGCAACAGAAGGCATGTTTCTTTTCTTTTTTTTTTTGTCTATACAATGAAAGTCAGTGGGCTCCAGTGTTGTTTTGGACCACAATGCATTGTTTTGACTTTAATTGTATGGACAAAAACAGTCAAAACATTCTTCAAAGTACCTTCTTTTGTGTTTCACACAGGTTTGAAATGACAGAATTTGTATTCTTGTGTGAATTATCCCTTTAACTACATACAGGTGATCTGAAATACAACAGGAAGTGGAGTAAGGAGTCACCTGTCATTTTCAGCGTCACTGCATTGCTTCGATGTTCTGTTTTCTTTTTCTTGCACCAGAAAGTGGCTCTTTCTGCCCCTTTTAATTCAGCAAATATAACAGCTCTCTTCATCTTCTCATTAACATTGACTCCTAAAGCGAAGCTGCTCACTCCCCTCAACGCAAAACAAGCCCAGTCCTTCAGATCATCGTCCGCCTGCAGCACCAGGTTTCTTCCTTCTCCTTTGGTCATCACAGCACCTCCTACAGATGGAGAGGGCTGAGCGTGAGGCTCCAGCTCTGAGAGAGAGAGAGAGAGATCATGAGAAACAGCAGGAGGAACAGAACAGATGATCATGAACGTTTAGGATGGTGTTCATACCCAGTACAGTGAGTGTGAACGGGTCACTTCTCGGTCCGCCCTGCTCACATTCACACGCCCCGTTGTTTTTTGGTGTCACTGCAGTAAGAAGAATAATTGAATAATCCTGATGTGATTGTTGTGTTCCATCAATAATCCATTTTGTTGGTTTACTCCCTCCTTTATGGTTACAGATCAGAGCGACGTCATCTCCAACATACACCTGTGGGAACTTCGGCAGGAGAGATACTGAGAGAAAGAAAACAGACATATGAGAGAAGCGTATTCTCTAACAGCAGGTTGTCTGACTGCTTTATTATTATGAAATATGACTGATTGGCAGTAATTGAACACAGTGATTTAGTGCTGTCTACTCTGCAAAAAAATAAAGTTCACTTCCTGGAATGGATGTTCATGCATGTATTTATGCATTCCTGTGTGCATACAGTACATGCATTGCAGCATGCATACATGTATGCATTCATCCATGCATTAAATAATGAAATACATAAATAATAAATGCTTTTCATGACTATGCTAGAAACATCAGGATGCTCTTTGTGTGATGATGTCTTTGTGACACTAGATCTACACACCTTAATAATAAATTATTAAAGATGTGCACTTGAATTTACTCAGCGCTGTGCTCGGAATAGATTTGATACTGTATGATATTAAATCTTTTGTTGTTTTGAGGATCAGGCAGAAAACATCTGTTTAACACATGGTGTGGTCTATAGATAAATGTGTCATAAAACACGTTTATGTATTTACCTGTTGGTTTCTGTCCCTTGTTCCCCCTTATGAGAGCCAACAACACTGTGACATAAAAAGATCAATCAGATCTGGATTTGACTTCTAGATTAACAACATACAGCTTTAGTAAATGCAGAGACAGAAAAAAGGGCTGTTTGTTTCCATCTCCTGGGCAAATTCCAAAGTTTCTCATAAGATGCATATTTATTGGAATGAGACAGACACACCACATCAGTTCTGGGCTTAAAGTCCCCATGAAATCAACATTTTTTTTTTTTTTTGTATGGATATGATCAAGTTTATCTATTAGCTAGTGTGCTCCAAAACAAAACTTGCATTTAGGAAATATAAGCATTCAAAACTTGAATCAAAGATTTTGATTATATAATTGAAAAAAATATAACGAAACGCTATTGGCTATTTAAAAAAGGGGGCAGGCTGCTCGATATGTCTTCTTGTTTCAGTTGAAATTACGCAAACACAAAGAATAAGGCTGCGAGTTTCAAGGCACTTCAGTGGATCTTTAAAACACCACCAGAACAAAGACCTGCCAGCTGTAAGTCTAAGACCACATTGAAAACCTGGGAATTTTATTTTATTTTATAAAATAATTGTATAAAATAGAGTTCTGAAGAGTATAATTCTACACTACTTCTAGGCCAGTAATCAAATGCAATAAATTAGTGACACTAAAAATGCATCTGTTTTTACCTGGCAGTGTCAGCAGAGACCTCATGTCCATCAGCCGATCTAAGCCACGCTGAAATATAACAGAAAGCATGTGCAAATGTTTCTTTAAAGTTGAAACACTTTTCCTTTCTTTTGACATTATGTTGTCTCCCTCTCTGGTCTGATCTTTTGGCTACACTTTACTTGAAGGGGTGTGTATAAGACTGACATGACACCTTCATAATCATGACATGACACATGTCATGAATATGAAGGTTTTATGCATGTTTATGAGAACTGTCATTAAGTGTCATTCGCTCAGTTATGTAATTTTTAATGCAAAGATGATATTGTTTGAGATGTCTTTGTTATGGGCTATGGTTAGGGGTAAGGGTAGGGGTAGGGTTATGTTAGGGTTAGGTCAAATAATGTCATATTTGCATTAAAAATGACATAACTGAGCGAATGACACTTAATGACAGTTGTCATAAACATGCATAAAACCTCCTTCATATCATGACATGTGTCATGTCATGATTATGAAGGTGTCATGTCAGTCTTATGCACACCCCTTAAAGTAAAGTGTTACCGATCTTTTCTTACATAACGGCATTGACATTTTAGACACCTAAGTCATATTTAAAAATGTCTTAATGTAACTCTGCGGACCCGGATACGGGTCCAAAATGACGTAAAAAATGTTTATGCTTCATATTATGCATTTTACAAAATATCAAAACCAAGGAAACGACTCGTGCAAAACTTGCTGTTGTTAACTTTTATATAGGGCCTATATTTCCCACAAATGTTTGTAATATCAACAAATTAGCCTATCTTGCTTGTTTTGAAAAGGGTTTAGCATCATCATCTGGTCTCCATTTGATGCTTCAACAGTTATATTTCTGTCAGGAGTACAATTAAAAACATGCAAAATCAAAACAGGACCGCTTTCATGCCTTTATTATAAATAATCAATCGCGAGACGAATCCAACCCGTCGCACTTTGGTAAATTGTTAAAGAAAGTGTCTTATGAAAATCAGTGAAATCCAAGAAATATCGATATATTATCCACTGTTTACATCAGATTTAATCTGCAAGATCTGCCCTCTCTATATCGTCATTCTCCTAGAAATTATGCAGTCTGAATACCGTTTATGTTATGGGACAAACTTCCCGTGGCTTGAACTGTAGGCCAAACCAAAACCTCCCTTGTTTTCTGGCACATGTAGGCCTATTGTTAAATAAAAATAAAAAATAAAAAAAAATCTGCAAAAACGTTTTCCATTTCAATATGCTTCAGCTTCTGTTTTTAGGGTGAATTCATGTAAAGTGGGCCACTTTTTTGTTAAACTTGAAACTTAGATACCAGACACTTGTCTTGTCTTTTCTTTATTACCTTTGTTTACTTCATGCACTCCAGACAAATGTCTTTTCAGGTAAATTGGGTCATTTCTGATTTATCAAAAATGATCCTGTATCTTAATTAGAAATTATAAAAACATTTATGTATCTTTTTTGTTTGTTTGTTAACAAATTATCAAACAAACATTTTAACAACATATTTAACAAAAACATATAGCCCAGGCTATGAGTAAAATTCATAAGTTTAATGAAAAAAAAAAACATCTTTACAACATATTAAATGTGACTATAATAACACATGCAGCAACAGACAGGTGATCAAAAAATGGAATAAAAGAGATATTTAAAATATAATATTGTTAAACATTTTTCTATCTGTTTTCTCTAAACACATTTGAACTTTAATTGTGACCCTATTTTAAAGCTTTATACTCTGCATCTACATTTAGCTTCACTCCAGATTCCTTTCTGCTTCACCTCTGTCCTTCTGCAATTGTTTTCTAAAAAGCCAGTTATACATGTCATTTAAAAACAAAATCAGTGAATGTCAATTTATTTTAAGAAATGTGAGTAGAATTAGTGACGGTTCAAGGTGGCCCACTTTAACTAGCACACTTGGCCAAAGTGGGCCATCAATATTTAACCATCTTATAAGAAAAATTTTAAATGTATTTTCTGCTGGCCCTCTGCTAAAAATGATAATGTTTGTATATTTTCAGCAATTGTCATTGATTTTGTGATTTAGATTTTACTGATTGAGAGAAATAATGTGACAAGGATTTTAACTTTTTTTTTTTCCAAAGTAACCCATTTGAACCTGATCCCCAAACTGTCTAAAAGTTGTGTCAGAATCAATCAATAAATCAATCAATCAACCAACCAACCAATCAATAAAAATAAAAATAAACTGGCCCTCTGCTAAAACTGATAATGTTTGTATATTTTCAGCAATTGTCATTGATTTTGTGATTTAGATTTTACTGATCGAGAGAAATAATGTGACAAGGATTTTAACTTTTTTTTTTTCCAAAGTAAACCATTTGAACCTGATCCCCAAACTGTCTAAAAGTTGTGTCAGAATCAATCAATAAATCAATCAATCAACCAACCAACCAATCAATAAAAATAAAAATAAATCTGTATCAGGTTACAAGAGACCAAGGCATCATTTATATACAATTTATTTTGACACACTCAGAAATACACATGGATTTTATGAGGAACAGGAATAAAACATGTAATGATGACAAACCAGTGTGTGTAACCAGGAAAGCAAATCAATCCTGCAGTGACCTCTTGTGGTGAACCTCGACACGACTGGCTTTGACGATGGACACCAATTTTGCCCCTTAGAAAGACTGAACTACAGTTGCATTGCAGTAAAAATTTAATATTGCATATTGCATTCAGTTTTACAGCTGTGCTCTATATGATATACATCCTCGAATAATAAAGCTGAAAATGCTTTAAGTCCTTGAAATGCTTTAAAAAAACAACATACAAAACAACAATGTGCATGAACTAAAATTAAAATCTGAAAATAAACATGATGAAACATTGAAATAGTGCAAACAGGCTACAGTGCAAATGCATTTACTGTTGAATGAGAGTGACACAAGCTGATAAATATTACTTATCTGTAAGAGATAGCATAATCTGTATAACTATAAATTCACAGACATTCACAATTGATTCTGTGTAATTCTGTGCGAATGCAGTTGCAAATGTGAAACTACTGTATATGCTGAGTATGCTTGAAGCTTATTTATGTGTGATATATATGTGCTTTAAATCCTTCTGTGCTATTAAGCAAAATTTTTTTAAAAACATTTTTTTGTCTTCTTTGTCCTGTTATATACAGAATTATGTATCTGAATTCTCATAAATGTGTGAATCTGTGTATGGTAACTGTAATCTTGTTTGCTACTTTTTTTGTGCAAACTGTATATATATGTGTGTGTGTGTGTGTGTGTGCATGTGTCTGTGCACGTGAAAATTATTTCTCTTTTTTGGGTGGTGTACCAAGTACCCTTTAATACATTACATTTAATACATTGACCTGAGAATGCAGGCATTGCCATTTGACTATTGTGGTGCTTATTCTTTCTCAGATTCTTTCTCTTTGCCCATCTGTTTCTTCACTTCTTCGTATGGATTTTCCTCCACTGTCACGGCCTCATAATCTTTGTCTTTCTGAGGAAGTTGCTCATACCCTCCCTCGGCTTCTCCTCCTGGTTTTTTCGAGTCTGCTGAACTCAGTGTTTGGTACACTTCGGCTTTGACGCTCTTAAGAGCCTCGTACCCACCTTGACCTTCACCCTGACCCTCTCCAGGTCCTAGTGTGTGGTACACCCCCTCCTCCTGCCTCTTTTGTAGGGGTTCGTAACCCCCCTCGGCCTGGTCCTTGCCCGTGCTCTCGCCCAGCGTGTGATAAACCGCCTGATCCTTGTCCTTGAGTTGGATTTGCTCATAGTCTCCACCTGTCGTCTTGTCTTTATCCCGTTTGGTCGCCTGGACATTGCTTCCTCCACGTCTGCGCTTCAGCGCGATCAGCAAGACGATCAACAGCCCGAGAACGATCAGAATCGCCGCCACCATGATGGGCATCACGTTTGGAGTCTCTGACTCAGATTGTGCTGAGAGAAAGAGAGAAGATGCAAATTCATTCTAAAAATAAAAATGAGAAGTAGTGTGCGTGCACAGTCGCCAAGTGAGAAATGAAAGTGACAATTGTATTTACACATTGCTACACTTAACATGAATATGCACGGAAAATGTTCATCATGTGCTTGTGTTTTGGCATGAAACTTTTGGGTGTCACAGACACTTTGAGAAGCAGTTCTTCTGTTGATTACCAGAGAAAATAGTCTACACTCATAACTCATCTTACAAAAGCAAACAAACATTGTGTTTATGGTAGGGTTATTATCGTTAAATGAAAACTAAAACCATAAAAAAAGCATTTTTGCTACTTGAAATAAAACTAAAACTTAGTTTATTTAAATTATTTGCCAAATTATTTGAAATTTCTAATTTTTGATTAGATCAAGTTGAGGAGCTGAATTTATTAAAACTGAAAAAAAATAAATAAAATACATTTGACAACAAAATTACAAAAACCTTAACTAAAATTAAAATGAAAATGGTAATAAAATACAAACACTCGCTTATGAACATGAAGTCAAAAGAGCATGTATATGGGTGTATGAATACCTTTGTAGCTGTAACTATCGCTGAAACGGGAGAAACCTTTCCCGCAGTCAAACCGGCAGCTGTACAGTCCTTCTTCCTCGACGGTAATGGACTGGTGGTTTTCAGATAGTCTTCTGTGTGAGTGTGGGTCATTAAAGAGTGTGTGATACCAGTGGTAGGACGTGCAGTCGGCAGGACAGCGAGGACAGGAACACTGCAGACTCTTAGTAGACACTGAAATCACTGCAGCAGGAGGCCCACCTGTAAAACACAGCAATATGACTGTGGTGCGCTGATGATTTCAGATGAATATAGTATTCATATACCATGGTATTTATATAGTACCTTTGTTTATTGGATTGTAACTGGTCCAAATTAGGCAGAAAAAAAACGAATTATTAATTTTTTCCCCCCTTTATTAAAGCAATAAACCAAGAAAGCCTGTGTTTTTACCATGTGTGAATGGGTGATTTTTAGGCACAATGCAAATTTAATGAGAATTTCAAATGTTT